TTAGCCATTGGATTGTTCTTCAGAGACAGCAGAAGGTTCCTACTTCTCTGGTCAGTTCCAGCAGCACTGGCCCAGTGGGGACAGTGGCACTGTGCTCTGCCAGGCTCTGGAGCAGGAGAGGAGGGAGGGTCTGGAGACAGTGGAATGGACCTGCCATGATACCGAGGTGTGTGGCTTTGCCCAGCTGCCTCAGTCTGCTCCCGGTGGCACTTCTGAATGCACCGTACAAGGCTGGTGCAGACACAGGACTTCCTCTTGTTGACAGATGACAGCGAAGGTCACTGGCAGAAGGATGTCAGCTGTCCCTATAGAACCTCAGCCCTTTGGGCCTGTAGATAAAGCTGTGTGTAGATTCCCCAGGTAAAGATGGATGCTCACTACAGTGGAGTTAAGTTGGAAATGTCTTTACTGCTTACTTGAAAAATTAGAGAAAGCAGGTCATCAGGAGTGATTTCCAAGTATTTAACAACCGTAGGGCATGGGCACTGACCCGTGAGGATAAACGTGGCTGGACACACTGGGCCAGGTGTTCCAGAAAATTCAGGCCAAATACCAGTGGCACATACTGTTTTTAGAAAACTTTCTGAATAAATTACTAAATAAAAATTTTTCTGGCTCAATGGGAGACTTTTCAGTTATGTAGAAAATCCACTTTTGAGAGAGCCGCGTCTCTCAGTAATGCCATTGTTAGGATGATTGCACATGAGCGTCCCTAAGGGCACACGGCCGTCACTTTCCCCACGTGGCCTGATGGAGTTCGCCCAGCATTCACCCAGCACCTGCCCAAGGGGACACTGCTCTGGGTCTTGGGGAATATAAGGTGCACAGCACAGCCCTGGGAGCCCAGCCCTGTGCAGGGAAGGAGAGAGATGAACAGGTGGGTGCTGACCAGTGTGAGCACCCATGAGAGGCAGCATGGGCGACACTGAAGACCACAAAGTGGGCGGCCCAGCTGGGGTGGGGGCTCAGAAAAGTCCTCCTGAGGATGCTCAGAGGAGTCATGAAGGACCAGTAGATAGCACTGGCCAGGCCAGGGAAGGAGGGGAGAGCTCCCAGGCAGGAGAAACCACAGGTACGGTAAGAGGGCGTGAAGCCAGTTGAGGATTTCAGCAGCTCGACGGCAGTGGATACAAGGCAGGCCAGATGGGCGAGGGTCAGATTACAAGGAGCCTTACACGTCACGCTTGGGAGTGTGGATTTCATCCTGAAGGCAGTGAGAAGTCACTGGAGGATTTTTAACATTGCGGGGGAGGGTTGATACGGTTCAAGTTTCTGTTTTAGAACATACTCTGGCGATGAGACCAGAGACAGGAGGCCAGGAATGAAGCTGGTAAAGTAATACAAAGCTGAGATGATGGTAGCCGGGCTGGGGATACTAGCAATTGGGATTAATCAAAGTGGACTCGAACTAGGGCAGGGAGAGGAGCGGAAGGCTGGACAGACACGGCATCACTATCCAGGCAAAAAAAGATGGATTCCTGACGTAAGGCCGTGAGAGCGAAGGGGGAGGTAAGAGAGGGTTTGAGGTGTGATAGAAGGGGCGACCGCAAGACTTGGTCCTTGGCTGGGGGGTGCAGGGGATCCTAGGTTTCCAACTCAACACTGTCGTTCCCCGGGGAGGGAACAGGGAAGGAGGAGAAGTAGAGGTTGTCTTCCCCCTATGAACTTTGTTCTTGTCTGATGGTAAAAGTAATACATGTGTGATACAGGAAATTTGAAAAGTGTCCAAAAAAGGGGGGGAGAGGAGAGGTTGCTCATTTATATTACGCAGTAGTGATAAGGAATCAGTGGGAACTACATGTATTAACGTGAATGGGTCTCCATGAAAGCGTGAGCATAAAAAGCAAGTTCTAGCAGGGTCTAGACGGCGTGATACTGTTTATAAACATCTGAAAAACGCAGAAACAATCCCTCATATGGTTAGAGGAGAGACACGCCCCACATTCAGGGCGGTTTATCTGTGAGAAGGCGTCACTGGGGGAAGGTACAATGGGGTATAATTGGGGGGAGGTGTAATCGGGGAAAAGACAGCAACTCTTGGTAACATTTATTTCTTAAGCTGAGTGGTGAGCATGCCACTGTGAAATTTGTTATTCATTGTAACTACATGTCTTAAATATATCATGATTTTTTAAAAGTCATCAAAAACCCATTACTGGAGACCATCGTTTTAACACATTCCTCAAGAACAACCCTCTCTCCACCCTTACACGGAGCCTTTACAGAGATACCCTGGGCCCTACAGCCCCGGCTGTCCCCCTGGGTCAGGGTTTCCAGCCTCCACACAGGGGCCTTCTCTGGGACCACAGTCGGGGTGCACGGGTGTGTCTGTGGTGTCTGACTCTTCAGAGATCACACAACAGACTGAAGAAATAGGGTGTCTGGGTTGCCACCGTCTATTAAAAATCCAGAACCCATGATTCAACCCACTGGGAACGATCTTGAAGACACCCTTGCCCCTGAAGTGTTGTTTTCACCTTGGGAGAGGAACCCCGCTGACCGGGAACCTGTTCCTGCAGCTGACGGCGCGCGGCCGGTGTGTTCCGCTCAGCTGGCGCGTTCCACAGGCTGACTCATAAATGGAATTTCATTTTCAGAACCAGGATGAAATGAAGAAATAATTTCACATAGTGTACATTTATTTAAATTAAATCAAAATAAGCAATGAAGGAAATTTTCTCTTGGCGATATAATTTCAAGGATCATTTCATGAGTTCGCAGCTAGAAAAGCATCTAGGTTTGATAACCACGGGGAGAGACTGCCCGTGTTCTGGTCTAATCGGGAAAGAAAGAGGCCGGTCACTTAGCTTCTCTTTGCTGAGTCCATTTAACGTCTCTCCTCCCTGCCCTGCTCCTCACATTTTGGCTCCTCGTTAGCACCTGCTGTTGATGTTCTGCGTTCGTCGCCATCACAAGTCAAATGATCATTTCTCCATCATGAGAGAGGATCTCAAGCTATTCCTAAGGGAAACGGCACCAGACCAACGGTCACCTCGGCCCACGCATCGGCGCGACCTGACCCCCTGCCAGGTCTCCTGTTGGTTTATCAGAACGTAAAGGCTCATTTATGATCTGACACAGGCTGATCCAGACATTTTTTCACCAATATTGGTTAACTCCCTTCACAAAATCACAGGCATTCACCAAAATTGTATAATTTCACAAAAATTTCATGGCGGGTTAACTGCGCAGTTGACTCAGCGCAGACAGACTGGCATCGCTGTGGGGCGGGATCGCTTCTCTGCGCGACTTCTGACGGGCGCTAGCTGCTCACGTAGAGAGGCCCCGCCACCCCCTGCTTCGTGGGCACTGCGATGAGATGCCGAACTCGCCCGGCACGGCCCAAGTGGGAACTTGAAGGGCTTCACGCGTTTGTTTCAAACCGAGCGTGACGAGAGGTGCGAGCGCGTGATCGCTTCCGGCCCCTTTTCTGTTTGGTGGTCAGATACGTCTGTATTCAATATTTTATTTACTTCTCCCTGCCGCCCCCACTTCTCTTCCCCAAAGCCCGACCCACTTCTCCTGTAAACATTCAAGGTTAACCCAAAGTCAACTGTGAATTACCGAGAAACAAAATGCCGAGGAGTCAGGTGGGACCAGCTCTGTCGCCCCCCCAGCCTCCCTTCTTTAACTCCTGGGTTTCCAGGTAGAACCCGTGGGTAATGTCCACGTCTTGGCAGAAGTCGCGTCTTTTGTGTGGCCCGTGCTCAGACTGTCTCTCCCGGATGCAGGCTCCGGAAAGGCGGGCGTCGCGGGGGTGAAACGCAGCGGCCGGGAGGCGGTGCGGTTGGGCCACCGGCTGCCTCTGATGAGCGGGTCCGTCTCTCCTGTCCTCTCCCCGTCCCACGCTGGCTCGATCGTGCCCTCGTTTGGCTGAATCTCTTACCCGGGTCTAATCAGCCGGTGCACTCATTTGAAACAAAGGTGTCTTTGACTTTCATGCACATTTTCTGACACAAAATGAAAGACCGAAGTAGTTTAGAAGCTGTGAGTTGAACATAAAAGGCATTGCGTTGGTCCTGGAGTGTATCTGGAGAAAGCTGGTGGCAGGGGTGGGGCTGAGGGGAAAATCTATCACTGGGATATTGAAATTAAACCATAAGTCACTGTTTTGAGCGATTACTACGTATCTTGCGTTGTGTTTAGTGGATCTTTATTATGTTTAATGGGATATTACATCTATGCAGCAAAGCTCACGGGTGTTAGGCAGCATCTGTGTCACTCACTTGGCTGGGTACGCAGGTCAGGATGGCTCCTTAACCTAATCTAGGGGAGGGACAAAGAATTAATTGAGGCCACAGAGACACCTCGGCCAAGAGGGGTTAGGATGTTGGAATAAACAGCCATGGCTTGTACATTTTGTATCCAAATAGTAGTTTATGGGATATTTTTGCTCTACTCAGTCCCATCTCAAGTCCCAGGGGTTCCTGGGGACAGACGCCTGGCTCTGGGCAAGAGAGATCAGAGGAGGGCCGGCTGTGAGTGGGCGCGAGGAGAGGAAAGCGGGTGTTAGGGACACAGTCACATTCTGCAGGTGTGGCCCGGGGACCGGGGGGACGCATTATGCATGACCTCAGCTGGGCTGTAAACCACTTTAATGCCCAGGGGAACATGCAAGACATCTTTTAAATAAAAGTCAGCATTCATCTCTGCACTTATCTCTTCTAAAAATGACCGTGGTGTTTACAAATCATTTTCCACACAGGGATGGGAGAATCCAGCCTAGAAATTGGCTCCAGCACCAGTCACCCTGCTGGTGCTGCTTGAGAAGGAGGGAGAAATACTAAAAAGCGCCAGATAATTGAAGGCCCTCCACCCTGGTGGCGGTGTGTGTGGCGGGACTGACCCGGCGAGGCGGGGCGGGGCGCCGTCGGGGGAACGGGTCTCAGGGCGACTCTCCGGGGCCACAGGTCACGCGATTGCTCCCTCGCCCCACGAGGAAAAGCCGGTTCGGTTCTAGCTCCGCCGGGCGGCTGCGCAGTCCCTCCACCCCGGCCCACCGTTCGCTCCTTGTAGTCGCCGGTCACGATCTCTCTGTAAGGGAGCCGCCGGCCACGGGAGGTGCCCAACCGCATGGTTCAGTGGACTCCTCAAGCGGGAGGGAAAACAACTGCCCCGCGGGCACTCTCGGTGGGGAACGCGTCTTGGGAGTTAATTTTGCCAGGCGAGGTGTATGTGAGGCCCTGTGCCGAGCTCCAGGGGCCCTTTCAGGCCCCGACCCCCACCTGGGGTGCGGTGGGCAGCGGGCCTGCCGCTGTGGTTCTGTGGTCAGAGCGTCGGCCTGGGCACTGAAGGGTTGCAGGTTCGATTCCCAGTCAAGGGCACGTACCCGGGTTGCAGGTTCCCTCTGGCCAGCTGAGGGTCGAGGGTGCAGGCGGGAGGCAACCAATCCATGTGTCTCTCTCACATCAGTGTCTCTCTCTCTCCCCTCCCTGCCTCCCTCCCACTCTCTCTAAAAACAAAGAAGACCAGGAGGTCTGGCGCATGGCCTGAACTGGGAGGCGCCCAGCCCGGGGTGGGGTGCGGGTGAGGCGGGGGGGCTCCCGCTT